CGATGAAAAGGTCTCGTCCTGATCCCTTAGTCTCTACTAATCCGAGCCTAAACCCGATACCCGATTCTTCGATGAATTTCCAAATGTTCTCTCTTTACAACAATAGCCTTGAGAATGACAATAGCCAGTTTGGTTTCTCTCTTCCTTTGTCCTCATCATCCTCATCTAATGAGATGTGTAATCCAAGCCAACTTATTGATCAGCTCATCTCCGAGAATTCGGACACAAACAACTACAATAAGAAAGACATTGATGCTATGAGTTATAGTTCATTGCTTATGGGAGATCTTCATGAGATCAGACCAACTTCTTTCCCTTTAGGCCTAGAGCTTCCTTCAGTCCAAACACCGACCCATTCCTTCATTTCTAATACCATTCTTGACCATATTGAACCACCGGTGGGTAATAGTGGACTGCTTGACGCTCTCTTGGAGGAGTCGCAAGCCTTGTCTCGTGGCGGAATCTACAAGGACACTAGGGTTTCTTCGAGTGATCTATGTGATGTTCAAGACAAGAATGTGACTATGGAGTTTGAGAATCGGTTATTGGACCATCTAAACTCTTCTCATCAATCATCATTCGGTAAGTACATATGATTTTAAACCATTTTCATTTATATTTAGTATAACCATTTATTGTTATTGTATAGTATAGGAATGTTTAATCCGGATTTCAGGTTTTTAAATAAACAGTAATCAGAGTAGTGAAGCTGAATCTAGTATGGATCTTTGGTAATATCGAAGATATATAATATAGTCTAATTAATTAATTGGTGTATAATATTACATTACTTGGGTTCAATGGACAGGAACAAACCCTAACGTCCACAACAAGTACAATGAGTCAACAATGGTGAAAGCAACTTTGGATGATGATGATGAATTATTGATGAGCCTTCTCAACAACTTCCCTTCAAACACACCGTTACCTGAGTGGTACCAGACGGCGGAAATCCAAACGGAAGACTCATATCTTGCCTCGCCAACCGGAGTTTTTGTCGGAAACCATCAAGGTAACGGTTTTGTGGAACCATCCACCGCGCCATCTTCGTCCGTTGTAGATCCTATAGCTTCGTTGGGGTCATGCTATTGGAGCAACATGCCTAGTATCTGCTAATTTGGAACCTCTCCATGAGCAATATCATTTCTTTGATTTGGAAAAAGTTGAGAGCTAATTGTGAGCTTAATTTGTCTTTGTTGTGTACAATCTTCATCAAAATATTCATTTTGGGATGTGCTATGAACTTTATGTTAACTTGTTTACAAGGGAACCAAAAAAAAAAATAGAAGAGGATTATAAAAAGAGATGAGATTGAGCTTTTTCTGCTTTTCATTTTTTTGTTGTTTAACTCATGTTATATGTGTTAGTCCAAGATTACTATATGTTCTTGCGCAAAATGACACCTAAAAAATCGAATCTACGATATATAACTATCTAAAAACATTTATTAATGTTATATAACAACCTTTCTTAATCAAAATCCAAAATTAATCATACATTACATTTTCACACCATCATGCGGAGACCAAATTAGTTTGGCAAATGAGAAGATAGATGTGAAAGTTTTGTTTTTGTTTTTGTAAATGTCGATAAGAAAGTTTATAACATGGTCTCCACAAAATAATAGCTTTTTCATTCATCCCTCGAAGGAAGCTTAATTTGATAGTAGTATATATACTACATAAACC